GGCCGGCTGGGGACGCCCTGTCTCCCGAGCCCCCCGGCCAAGCCTCAGGGCCGTGCGCTCTGGGACCTTACTCGACTCTCCGGGGAACTGGAAACACCCCGTGGGAGCCATCCCTGAGCCCGTGGGTAACCTGGAGCCTCTGGGGCATTTGCCCCCAAGACAGGGGTCTGCCTGGGAATGCTGGCTGCAGCCAGTGGCTGGAGGACACCAGGAGTCTGTGCCCCAAGATGGGGGGCGAGGTGCCTGGTGCTGGGCAGGCTGAGAAGGGGTCTGGATCCTGGAAGTCACTCAGCTCTCAGGCAGTGGGGCCTGCCCTACTCCACCTTCCTGGGGGTGGCCACCAGGGTCCCACTCCCCAGCGGACTGGCCTTTGCAAAGAGGAGCCTCATCACCAAGAGGGGGCTGGAGCCAAGCCTGGGACCCCATGGCAAGGAGGAGTGGCCAGTTTTCTGACCAGCTCTCTGTAGAGGGGGCCTGCAGAATCACATCAGCCCCCAGCCACCATGCAGAGCCCACCAGGTGCCATGCGCACCTCATGTGTGCTGCCCCTGTTGTCTCCTAACCTGATGCAGTACCCAGCTTAGAGCCCTGAGTAGGCCTCAAGAAGAGAGGTCAGTGCCACACGGGGTTGCCCCCTCTCCCCATGAGGCCCAGGGCCCCTGCTGACTGGTCCTCCTGAACCTCTGCTCCCTCTTCTTCTTCTTGCCTTCCCCTTCCTGACCACCAATGGGGCCACCTAGCAAAGTGAGACAGCCATGAGGCCCCAGGCCCTGAGACCGGTGGGGAGGGGCTCGCTGCTCCTCTGCCAGCTGGAGAGGCCAGGATGTCCACCCCACGCCGTGTCCTGTGAAGCCCTGGCTGAGAGGAGGAGGGACTCAGGCTGCTGCAGGTCACACCTGGGAGGCTGGTCGGGCTGCCCCTCCCAGCTCTGCATCCCCCAAGTTCAGGCTGCCTCATCTCAGCCCTGGGCAGCCCCACCCTCCCCTGGGTGGCCCCAGGTACCCTGACTCACATCCTGCACCTCAACCTAATTGCCCCCCTTCTCAGGCATCATGCTAGAGGCCCTGGTCAGAGAGCCAGTGTCCCTCCCACCCCTCCTGGCAGCCCCTGGCATTAAGTGATGCCCCGCCAGGCTGTGAACTGCCCCCCACCCCTTAGCCCAGATCTTAGACTCCAATCCCTGCTGGCTACCCAGGATGTCATCCCCTCTCCACCTCACCAGGACATTCGGGCTTTGGCCAGCCGGACTGGCCAAGCCCCTGGAGAAAGGCCTGTGTCGCCCTGTCCAGGCAGGGGCCTTCTGCCCACAGACCCCCGCCAACCAGGAGGACTGGGGCGGCATGTGTTCCTGGTGCCCCGAGGTACCCAATGCAGCCAACAGACAGAGCAAGACTCAGAAGGCTGCAGTTCAGCTTTATTCTCATGCCCCTCATGTCCAGCTGAGGCTCAAGATCAGCCCAGGCCACAGTCCCCCGGCACTGGGACTCAGCTCCCTGCCTGGACTGGGCAGGGGGCTCTCTTGCCTACTCCTGCCAGCCTCCTTCAGCTGGGGGATCCCCCAGAGACCGCTGCCTCAGCGGGAGCCACCTGGAAGAGCCAGAATCCCGGCCTAGAACCACTCGTGGGGACCAGCTGTCCCCCCTGTCCACACACTTGTCCCAGCTCCACCTCCGGGCCCCGGCACCGACCATGGAGGATCTCCAGGCCCAGGCCTCCTTGTCCAAGGACTCCCCTTGGGGGCCCTGGCTCCCTGAGCTCTTGGGCTGCCTGGGCCCCCCGCTGACACTCCAGCGGCAAGAGGGCTGCACTTCCGATCCTGCTGTCCCCATGGTGTCACTGGCTGAGGGACGGGGTGAGGGGACGTTTCTCCGGTTCCTGTACCTCGGGGCCTAGAGGCAAAGGCTCAGCTCAGACCCGCCTCCCTCAGGAGGACTTCCAGAGTCCCAGGAGGCCTACAGGCTCGAGCACCTTCTGCCCACCCCCGACCTGCCAATACCCACCGCTTCCAGCTGCACCATGCCTGCTCTTCCCTCAGCGGTTCCCTCTGCCCAGAATGGTGTTCTCAGGTGTGTCCACACGATAAACTCTCCCCTCAAGTCTTTGCTCCACCTTTACCTCCTCTCTGAGGCCCACCCCAGCACCCAAGTTACTAAAACTCCAACTAGCCTGCCCAGAGGTCCTGAGCTCCTGACCCCTCCCCTGCTCTCCTTTCTTCCCAGAGCATTAGCGCCTCCTGATGGTCCATGGGGTGTAGGGCTGAGCTGCCCTGGGTGAGCTGAGCAGGTGAGATGGGGCTGGCCTGTGACGTGCTTCAAAGATCTACTATGTTTTTTGTTTTTTGTTTTTGAGGCAGTCTCACTCTGTCACCAAGGCTGGAGTGCAATGGCGTGATCTTGGCTCACTGCACCCTCCGCCTCCCAGGTTCAAGTGATTCTCCTGCCTCAGTCCCCTGAGTAGGTGGGATTACAGGCATCCCACACCTGACTAATTTTTGTATTTTTAGCAGAGACAGAGTTCCACCATGTTGGCTAGGCTGGTTTCTAACTTCTGGTCTCAAGTGATCTGCCTGCCTTGGCCTCCCAAACTGCCAAAGACTTATTATGAAAAAAATCACATCTGGCCGGGTGCAGTGGCTCACACCTATAATCCCAGCACTTTGGGAGGCCGAAGTGGGCAGATCATCTGAGGTCAAGAGTTCGAGACCAGCCTGACCAACATAGTGGAACCTCATCTCTACTAAAATAATAATAATACAAAATTAGCCTGGCGTGGTGGCCCATGCCTGTAATCCCAGCTACTTGAGAGGCTGAAGCAGGAGAATCGTTTGAACCTGGGAGGCAGAGGTTGCAGTGAGCCAAAGAGTGAAACTCCATCTCAAAAAAAAATAAAAGTCATGTCTAATAGCTCATTCATGATTTTTACACTGGCTACATGCTGAAATGGTAATAGTGTAGGCATATTGAGTTAAATGTTATTAAAATCCATTTTACCTGTCTCTTTTCACTTTTTCTGGTGAGCCTACTGGAAAAGTTAAAATTATCAGGTGGTTCACACCGTATTTCTAGTGGACAGGGCTGTTGTAGATAATTATTTTTAGGCAAATTGTTTACTACTATCTGCCTCCTCACACCAGAATGTTCCCTGCTGTGTCCCCTGCCAGCACGTCACCTGGCACTTGGTAAAGGATCATTGTCAAATGACAGAATGGATGAATGAGGTTCTGCCAGGGGTCCCAGGCAGGACAAAGAACGCTGCTCCTTCCTCAGGCCCCCACTCACCCTCTCGGTTGGCATCTGTTTCGTGCTCCTGGAGGGTCTCAACGGAGTTCTCCCATCCCACACCAGGTCCTGGGAGGCACAAGGCAACCACTGGGCCCAGGGCCAGGGCGGAAGTGGACAGAGCTTGCAGGAGACACAGGGGACAAGAAGGAAGCCTCCTCCCCCAAGGAGCTGGTGGGTCCACAAAGAGTTGGGGGGCCGGCTGGGACAGTGACCCTTGTCCCTCACCTTTGCTGTGGGAGATGGGTGCCCCCAGGGGCCCTGGACGGCGCTGTCGGAATCGTTGCCTAGGGGTGTCCCCAGGGCTGAATGACTCAGAGCTTCGGCCCACCGGGAACCTTGAGCTGAGTTTCCGCCGCTGCCCGCCTGCCAAGGTCTCATCCCGCAGGCAGAGGGAGCTCTGGGCCCGGCGCATGGGTGCCGGGGAAGGGAACCCTGCAAGAGGCACAGGCAGGGAGGGGGTCAGAGGAGGGGAGGGGG